ACCCTATCTGTACTATGTTTTTTCCTATAGGTACATACCTATGATAAAGTTTAACTTATACATTAGGCACAGTAAGAAATTAACAACAATAAGTAAAAATAAAATAGAACAATTACAACAATCTACTGTAATAAAAGTTATGTGAATGTGGTTTCTCAAAATATCTTACTCTACTGCATTCCCCCTCCTTGTGATGATGTGAGATAAGAAAATGCCTTTGTGATGGATGAAGTCCGGGGAATGATGGAGGATTGTGACGTCATGCTAGCTACTGTTGACATCGGGCGGTTTGTCAGCGGGAGGATCATCTGTTCCAAGTGCGGTTGCCTGCAGGTAGCCAAAACCACAGAAAATGAAACCATGGGCAAGAGGGGACGGCTGCAGCTACTGTGTGCCAAGAAAACAGACAAAATCTCCACTTTCACAGTGCTTACAATTTGTTGACGGGGAAACCGTCAATAGACACCCCAAAACCAAAGGAACATACAATATGTTAGATAAATGCCCTGAAGCAAAATAAAGCAATGGAAGGAATCTGAGACGCTGGCGCATGTTGCATCAGTTAGGATGGTCAGGAAAGCCCTCTTGGAGGAGGTTGCTTTGAGTAGAGACCTAACTGAAGGCCAGGAGGAAACCCAGTGGTTGTCTGTGGGTGTTTCTGGGGAAAAACACGACAGGTGCAAAGGTCAGAGTGCACTTGACATACTGAAGAAATAGTGAGAAGGCTCTTACGAAGGGGTCACAGTAGAAGCTTCAGGTATTCTTCATGAGCTGGGAAGCCATTGACGAATATAGGGCAGGGAGCACACACTGTATGCTTAAGTTTCAGGGCGAAAACTCTGTCTTGTATGTTAAAAATAGGCCATAGGGGCTGGGGATCAAAGACCAGGGTTTTTTGAAAGAGACTAAGTTGGAGATGATAGTGGCTTAGACTAATATTCATGGTGCCACTGATGGGAAGTGGTCAGATTCCAGAGGAAATTGGAGACACCCAAACATCCACGGAAGAGGGGAGGAAATTTTGGAAAAAGTATTTGCGTTATTCTTTCTTTATAGCAGCTTCAGGTGGATGGGCAAACACTAAGAGAGAACCGATTCCTTTAAGTAAGCTCCACAGCTTACAGCTACATTTGCAACTAATAACTCTTTTGAAATTAAGCACACCAGTTAGTAAGTTGAATAACTGGTTGGAGAAACAATACTTGCCGAAGCAATGTACTAATCAAGGTGATTTTAGGAGCAGATCTAGATATAGGCACTGTGTTTTGAGAAAAATAAGTTTTGTGCATTAGGGACACATTACACATTTGATGTGGAAAACTGGAAGTGGTAGAAAAGTATAAAGAAGTAATTCAGGTTTTCTGGAGTGTCATTATCTAGAGATAACTGTTATGTATATATATAATTTCAATAGATGGGTTATATGTAGTATAATCTATAGATTATTACATATGTAAATAGTAGGTACTATATATGAATCACTTACCTGTACCTATGTGTGTGTGTGTGTAAGTATATAGATTATGTGTTTGTGGTACACATGTACTTACCAGGCTTGCATTTGGATTTTACTCTACAAAATTCAGCTGTAAGAAATGCCCCATTTCTTTTAATCTCTGAATTTAATGAGCCCTTCAAGATGGATCTCAAGGGGAAAGTCAATCTCAGATATTTTGTGTACCTCTTCTTCTCTCTGGACCAAGCTGGGACTTTTGCATTCCAGTCCACTGTGATCACCACTGCCAGAATAGCTGGCCACCTCTACTGGGTACCTGGCAGGGACCTGCTGCTTCTATGTCAACCTTGACCCCGGGGTCTCTGATCCTAGTGATTGGTGTCTGTGAGTCCTGAGGGGGACTGCTGTGTCCCTTCTTGCTGGTTTTGGAGCCTGCAAACCTCTGGCTTCTTCATGTCATAGCTCTTGAAACCTCCCTCCTTCCTTAATTGGCTGTTTCTGCCTTTATGTCAGGTGATGATGCTCTGGTGCCAGAAACTTCTGCCTTCAGCCCTGCAACTTGAAAAACCCATAACCAACATTGTTGATAAAACACAAATTTTAGTTATCTCATTGGGATAGAGGAGGAAGATAACCACTCATTGCTTCTAGTCTTTTTGTGTGTGTGTGATTTTAAGAAAAGAGTCAAAAGTTAATCTCTCAATAGATATTTTTCTGGACCCATATGTAAAACAACATTTTTATAGAAAATTGAACTTGTACTTTACTCTGTCATACGTGCTTTTAGTATTGAACAATGTTTATGAGAAATTTCTCCTGTTGTTAAATATTCTTTTCAAACCTGGATTATAATGGCTGTGAAATATTAAATAAATAAGAGACTGTTTGTGTAACTGATACCCAAATTTAGACATTTAGGTTGTTTCCAATGTTTCCAATTATAAACAACATGATTGTGAGTTATAATGTACCAAGTCTTCCTTTTTTTTTTTTTTAAAGATCTCATTTATTTATTTGAGAGAGAGAGAGAAATGGGAGGAGGAGCAGAGGGAAAGGGAGAGGCAGAGAATCTCAAGCAGACTCCACGCTGAGAGTGGAGCCTGATGCTGAACTCTATGTCACAACCCTGAGATCATGACCTGAGCCGAAACCAAGAGTCGGATGCTTAACCAACTGAGCCACCCAGGCGCCCCCATGAAAAACCAAAGTCTTTAAGAACAGGTCTAATAGGGGCACCTGGGTGGCTCAGTCGTTAAGTGTCTGCCTTCGGCTCAGGTCATGGTCCCAGCATCCTGGTATTGAGCCCCACATCAGACTCCCTGTTCCGCGGGAAGCCTGCTTCTCCCTCTCCCACTCTCCCTACTTGTGTTCCCTCTCTTGCTGTGTCTCTCTGTCAAATAAATAAATAAAATCTTAAAAAAAAAAAGAACAGTTCTAATAATGTATTTTTTTAGGATGAATTTTTAAAAGTGGAATTATTGGAGCATGAATTTTTAAGGCTATTTCTACATTTGTCATGTGCAGTCTGGACACGCATTTATGGACTGTAGTACAGTTTTTAGGTATACCAGGTTGGAATGCCAAGTGGTCATCTTTATGAGCAGTACTTTATATGATTCTGTTCTAGGGATGTCTGCTAGCATGCAGGTAGAGAATCCAGGTGACCCCGCAATTACTCTCCGCCTGCCTTCCCCTATTCCCGTCACTCCCCAGCCTGCTCTTATGGACTCTGTACCTGACAGGGTGTGTAAGTGTGAATGGGTGTGCACATGCTGGTAAACTTGAATGCGGAGTCTTTCTCTTCAAAGCTTTGTGCCCCATCAAGATATTAGATACCCTTCACTCCTCTTAGGCTCATGGCAGCTCGATAGGCCCCCCAATTCTTACATTTGCACACCACCTTCCAAACTCCATTCCCACTTTTAGCACGTTTTCTTCATTCTCTGCTCTATCATATTTGCTTTTCCCCTAGCTGTGTCTGGAAAAATTCCAGTGTATTCTTATTCATTATCTCTTTTCTCTGGACTATATTTTTCGTTGTTATTTCAACAACCCCCCAGCCAAATTACAACATGCTGTCATAATGATCAGTCATTGACCAGGCTGGGTGTCTGTCTATGCTATGAGTTAGAGGACCAGGATGCGTGTGAATGTCATGTATGTATATTTGAAATAAACAGAGAAGATGAATAATAATAGCTAGCATTTATTGAGCATGTAGTATATGCCGGGCAATATCCTGCGTGTTTTACATGTATTTCCTTAATTAATCCTCACAACAACTCCAGTGCCCAGGGGATGACTAGAAAATAGATTTAAAAGCATTGTCAGCCTTCAGAGTACCTGGGAAAGGCTTCTAATATTCTCTAGGGAAACTAGTTAACTATTGGAAGTCTGCCCATGGCGTCAACAATTCTATAAGTTGTAACTCAAAGAAGTGATTGGTGGCCCTAGGATACCTGACTCAGACAATAGTTTAGATATAGCTTAAGTAGAAATACTGAGTTGAAGAAAAACAAACCAAAACACGTTTTTATGTTGATTGCTAGGGCTTGAGCATCTTTCAGGCATGGGTTAACTTACACATTTTTTTTTACTTGTTTAATAGGTATTTGTTGTGCTAGGCACTGCAGATACCAAAGTGAATAAGACAGTATGGTTGAGGTGACACATATATTTAAGTGAATAATCAAAATATAGTGTGCTAAAAGCTATGATATGTAATTGTAGGTGCTGTAAAACCTATAGGAAGAGGAAGTTCTTGGAGCTCCCCAGAGAGGAAGATGTTTAACTGAGCTCCAAAGGACATGCAAGGGCTTGCCAGGGAAAGAAGGGGAGGGAGAGAAAGGGGAACAGTAAGTGCGTCCCACCTCCTTGAGTGGGGATTTGGGTGTTTCTCTGTGGTAGATCTGGTTATGGAATAGTGTCAGAAATAGAGGTGGAAAACTAAGTAGGGCCCAGGTTAAATCAGGTCAAATTTGGTATTTTACCAACATTGCATTGGGGGGGCATTACAAGGTTTTGGATAAATAGGGGGACATGAGTTAGTACCTTCTGGAATAAACAAAGTGACACATTTTAACTTCAGTGCTGCTAATGGTTGGGAAGAGGAAGAGTCAGGGCAGATGACCAATTAAAGGGTGACTCATTCATTCATTCATCCAATTGTTCATTTATTCCTTCATCTTTTTGAGTACTTGTATGTGCCAGGTGCTGTTTTAGGGGCGAGAAATACCATCAGTGAACATAACAGACCAAGTCTGTCCTCAGTGGGATTACATTCAAGACATTCTGGTGTGTAGAAGGACTTAGTAGCTAACAGCGATGAAGATCAATCATGCAAGAGAGGGGAATAGAGAGTGAGAGGAGAGGTCCTGTGTTAAATCTAGTGGTCAGGAAAGCCATCTTTTCAGAGGTGAATCTGAGCAGAGACTTGAATGAGGAAGTGAGTAATTTTGATCCCTGGGGTTCGAGAGATCCAGATGGAGGTGGTACCAAATGAGAGACCCTGAGGGGGGAGCCTGCTTGGCTCCTTCTGGGAATAATGAGGAAGCCTTTAGAGCTGGAGCAGCATGAAAAAGGAGAATGTGGTAAAGGTGGCGATCACAGAACGGCCAAGAGCCAGCTTTGTGGAGCCATGTAGGCCATGGTGAGGGTTCTGGGTATTACTGTGAGTGTCCTGAAAGCCATCTCAAGGGCAGTGGTTAGGGAAGTGACATGTTCCAACCGAAACATTTTACAAAGCTCACTCTGTCTACTGGGTGAAGAGTGGATTGTGTATAGAAAAGAGTGGAAGCAGGAACACCAGTTGGGAAGCCTTTGCCATCACCCAGGTGAGGTGAGAGTTCAATGGTAGACCACTAAGTGAAGACACAGTAGGTAGTGGGACATGAGTAGCTACAGTAGTTGCTGCAAAGGTAACAGAAGGGCCTTCATTAGGGTATTGACGGTGGACTGGAAAGGAGTGAAGAGTTTTAAGAGCTACTCAGAGTAGGTAGTGACTTAGGTAAAGGAGGAGAAATGGAGTCAGATGCCTGGTTTCTGGTGTGGTCAAGTGGAATGATGCTTCTTTTCACTTAGTGAAAAAATCCAGAGGAATGAATGACTCCCAGTGACCTAGGTTTCTTTTAATAGGTTCTCATAGATCTGAGTGTCTCCATACCGTATTCTTCTTTAGGCCAAACTCATTGTGGGTTCCAGAAGAGCAGGGATCATCAAACTCATTTCAGAAAGGATCAGAATAACTCGTTTCAGCTTCTGCAGTCCACACAGTCTCCATCATACTTTCTCAACTCTGCCTTTATCGTGGGAAGCAGCCATAGAAAATACATCAGGGATTGAGGGTGACAGTGTTCCAATGAAATTTTATTTACGAACACAGGCAGGGGGCTGGATTTGGCCCACTGACCATGGTTTGGCTGTCCCCATAATAGAGCAACCCCAAGCAGTTTCTTCTTTCATCTTGAGCAGAAAAGTTTTATACTGTCAGAGCAGAGGTGAGGTGAGAAATCAGAATACTTAGCAACAACCAGCCTGGACCCTGGCAAAATATGCAGAGCTGGCTCCATTAGCAGCTGGGCCCAGGGACAGGGGGGCAACTATAGCAGAAGGATGGGGAGCAGGTTGTTATCAGAGTATGGGAAATTCCGCTTTTCCTTGAGCCCTTATCCTCGGGGTAAATGATTGACTACAGGGGAGAGGCCTCATGTGGCCCACATTTTTTTTTTCTCCCCTGGGCTGGATTTCTTATAACCACAAGAATAATTTCAAGGGAATGATCAGCCAAATACTGAACACATGCCACTTATCTTCTTCCAAAGGAACACATTTCTGGACCTGATGGGCATTAAGGACCCTCAGCAACTGTGGGCAAAGAGGTGTTTGCAAAACAGACCAGAGACCCTACATCGAATTTGCACATAGATAAAAAATATATTGTAAAGAAAAAGAAATGATCTCTTAAGTTGTTTTCTCAGTTCCAATTTTGGAAGGATGGATTTTCTTGAAATGAGACTCTCCTCTCAGGTATAATTTACTGGCACTGTCATTTAGCATTTTATTTCCACAAAGAATGGAAGCCCCAATAGTTAACACGCTGTGCAGCAGTGAGAAGCTTCCCAAATGTAGGTCTCCCCTTATCACGTCAGTCCTGGCTTGGCTTTGCATTCAGGCCTGGCCTGGGAACACAATGTCTTTGATCCTGATAGCCTTTGTATTCCTTGCAGCTTTGAACTCCCATTATACTCTATCCAGATACAACTTCTCAGGGCTTTGAAGTTTTTCTCATGCCTCATATGTGTGATCTTTGAGGACCTTGAAGAGCCTATTAAAAGCTTGCCACTAGAATTTTCCTCCACAAGTTTGCATTTGAAAAATACCTGACCTTCATCAGCTGTGCATCAACCACTACCACCACCCTCCCACCCTCCTCTGTAGGGTCTTCAAAAACAATCAAAAGAAGGGGATTTTTTTAGAATTGCGTAGAAACTCCATTTTGCCTAATCTTCTTCCCGGAAAGATTTTTTATCCCTACCATTTTCTATAGCCAGCATATTTTCACAAGGCATATTAGCGGCCATCATCATGTTGGATATTAAGTTTGTAGACAAAAAGTCAAACTTTAGCTGATTTTTTTTAAAGGAATTTTATTCAATTTCAAATGAGCATGTTTAAAATCTAGTGGGAAAAGCACTGGGCTTGCAATCAAGAGTGCATAGGTTTAAGTCCCCCAAGCACCACTTGATAGCTGTAGGATCTTAAGTTTCCTGGCCACACTGAGGTCCAGTCTCTTCCGACAAAGGACGTCCTGATACTAGATTACATGGTAATTGTGAGGATGAAATGACGCAGCATTGAAAACCTCCCTAGTGCATTGTTTGCCATATAGTAGGTGCTCAATAAATCAATGTCAATTTCCCCACTTCCAAGTAGGAAGTTCCACACCTAGGGGCAAAACAAAGTAACTTGCCATGGAGAAATGAGGGCGGGGTAAAGGACATCCTGTTTCAATGCTCTAGGTCGGTGGTCTCCAAAGTGTGGTCCCCAGACCTGCAGCATCAGCATCACCCAGGAACTTGTTAGAAACGCAGATTTGGGGCCCCATTCCATCTGTACTGAATTAGAAATTGTGTAGGTGGACCCAGCAATCTGTGTTTTAACCAAGCTTTGCTACTCCCTGATGATTTTGGGGCACCATGCTCTGATGCTCTTATGATGGAACAGTTTTATATGAATTATCATATTTAGTCTTTCTATAAAAAAGGTTTTCTAAGGAAAAAAAAATACCTGAAAAAAAAAAAGCTAGCTGGAAGACCTGAAAACTTACCATTAAGAGCCCAAAGTAACGTAAAGCAAATAATAAGAAATACTCCTCCAGATTATTTGAAAATAATAGGATTCCAAGTACGTGGACCACCTAGAACATATCTAGAACGTGGGAATAAATGAAGACCACATTAATGGGAACAGGGGCATTCTGCAGAGGCTACAACATGGGGGCCAGGGGCCCAGCCATCATCAGTTGCAGTTTGCAAAGACTCAGAGTCAGGCATGGGAGTAGAAAAGCTTATAGTACTGGCTGTGAATCAGGGAGCACTACATAAAAAACTAATGATGTACTGCATGGTGACTAACACAACGTAATAAAATTTTTAAAAATAATAAATAAATAAAAAGCTTATAGTGAAAACAGGAGGGCTTTAGCTGCTCTCTGATTGGAAGTTGTTGGCACAGGGAAGCAAGAGGTGAGCTAAAAAGAAGGGGAGCCTCTCATGTTTGTTTGGGGGGCATATTTGTCTTTCTGTGGTTGGTCTGGAGGGAAAACATACGGAGGTTGGCCGTCATTGAATAAGGCCTGACCTTTCTGGGCTGGTTGCGGCAGATATTATCTGTCAGAGTTTTATTGTTATATAGGGTCTGGCCATTGTTTGTACATTAGGCTCTCAAGAAACCCAGAAAACAAGTGCACATATTTGCAGGAAATGGGGTATGCTTTAAAAAGTTTACAGTTAAATATTTCTGAAGTTATTGGTATAGAGGAAAACAGTTAACGTACCCATGGGCTCTACTATTTCTGCTTTACCTAAAAAGGCATTTAAAAATTAATTTACATAAGAAACATCACCAACACAAACATTATCTGAGCTTAAGCCCCATGTATGTGCTCCAACTGTTGCGGGTTTCGTTAGTGGCAACTAATAAAGGTAATGAAGACAGTACACACACGACATAATTAGTTGTAAAAGTGATGTATACTGTCAAAGCCAAAATTGCACTGGACAAAATTAAACAGATAAGGACGACTTTTTCAAGGCTGTTGCTATTGGGGAGAGAAACCAGAATGCAGTCGGAACTCAATTTCGCTGAAACAAAGGACAGGAGAGGTTTTACAGGAATGGAGTGGGGGTGGGGCTCACAGGCCATCTGTGTTTGCTATTTGGCCTTCCCCAAGGAAACAGGGGGTAGTTTTACAGTTCAGAGCAATGTGTCTGTGGAAGTTAGGCTCCTGCCCTCCCACAGAAACGGGGAGGTAGGGGCTCTGTCTTCCTTAATGGTAACCTTTCAAAGGGATGGCTGCTAGGTCCATGAGAAAGACAATACTGTATGGTGACTAACATAATGTAATAAATAAAATAAATAAAATAAAATAAAATAAAATAAAATAAAATAAAATAAATAAAATAAATAAAATAAATAAAATAAAATATAAAATAAAATATAAAAAATAAAATAAAATAAAATATAAAAAATAAAATAAAATAAAATAAAAAATAAAATAAATAAAATAGGCTGTTCTAGCTTGTAAAACTAGAAAAAGGTTTTTAAAAATATTTCTATCCCAAAGGGCCAGAGAAAGAATTTACAATTACAAATTTTCTAAAGTAAATGCTCTAAGAGCACACCTGTCAGAATGGCTAGCATCAAAAAGACAAGAAATAACAAGTGCTGGTGAGCTTGTAGAGAAAAGGGAACCCTTGTGCCCTCTCAGGTGGGAATGTAAATTGGTGCAGCCACTATGCAAAACAGTATGGAGGGTCCTCATAGAACTACCATAGGATCCAGTAATTTCACTTCTGGGTATTTACCCAAAGAAAATGAGCACACTAATTTGAAAAGATACACGTACCTCTATGTTGATTGCACCCTTATTTACAATAGCCAAGATATGGAAACAGCCTGTGTCCATGGATAGGTGAATGGACAAAGAAGATGTGGCATATATATACCATGGAATATTACTCGGCCACAAAAAAGAATGAAATATTGCCATTTGTGACAACATGGATGGACCTAGAGGGTATTATGCTAGTGAAATAAGTCAGACAGAGAAAGACAAACACCATATGATTTGTATGTGGAATCTGAAATACAAAATAAATGAACAAAAAAAACAAATCAGAAGCAGCTCCTAAGTACAGAGAACAAACTGGTGATGCCAGAGCAGGGGTGAGGGGAGTGGGTGAAATAAGTGAAGAGGTTTAAGAGGCACAAAATTCCAATCAACAAATAAATAAGTTGCAGAAATGCAAAGTACAGCATAAGGAATATAGTCAATAATATTGCAATAATTTTGTGTAGTAACAAATTGTAACGACATTTATGGTGGTGAGCATTTTCGTAATGTACATAAATGTTGAATC